GTCCACATAGTTTTGTTTTTTCAACATAAAAATCATTTGCATTATATTGATTTTATTTTGATTGCATGTAGAATGTTTATATTGATTGTTTTTATTTCATTTCTTTATTTTAGTTATTTATTATTATTTATTAATGTGAATATTTCGACACATACAAAATCAATAAATTTGTGGACCATGAGTCAAAAATCTTCTATCTAAAATGTTTTCTGTGATATTCGAGTCTTTTACATTATTATAAATTATTAGAATTTCAATGAAATAGAAATATGCTGTTACATAATAGGTTTATTGATTAATTTCATTGTGTTAACAATTGAAAGTGGGAGTCCTTGTATCGCAATGATAACTCGGTCAATGCTCGTACCATAAAAATTATTCAAATGAATAAATCGCCAAGAAATCGCCATGTTTTTTATCATAGAATTTCCTTCTTTTTTTAAAAAAAGTTATTAGTAGAAAAAAAAGAATGTTGGGATTAAAATGTAAATCTTCAAACCATGCAGCAAAAATCATCATTTTATTCATTTTTATATGTTTGATCAATCTATGTTTTGTTTCTGTAATGTGATCAAAATTTGACCTAAAATGCTAAAGCAGGTCTCAGTCAGTATATATTGTATTTATCAAACATAAATAACACCATAAGTCCAAGGTAATAATGCTTTAATGCAACTCTTAAAAACACTGTTGGTGCCTTAACAGCAAAATTGGACCACATGTTGCAGTGCCATCTAGAGGGGGTAGGGAGAAGATTAACATGTGTAATATGTTAACATTGAGCTGTCCTCAGTGGTTCACCATCTGTGCAAGAGTTGTGTTTGAGAGTGAGACACTTTTATAGTTATACATGGGATAAGCATGAGTATGCTGGTCCCTGCAGAGAAAGAAGCAGTGCCAGGCTCTCTCACACCCTCCTGACCTCTGCATCTGTCTCAAAATGCAAAAATACTTTACACACATAGGCTCAAAATGAGAAGAAAACATGCCAGCAAAAACCTGAGGATTTTGTTGATTTATGACTACGAAGTGATTCTGAGTATTGCTGAGGTTTAAAGCACATATTTTCTGTGTTCTCACTCTTGAGAACACAGAAAAGTTGAATCATCTATTATGATTGTGGGTTTTGTCAGAGCAAATAATGACTGGAACCCTGATTGCATGTGGTTTGTGATTCATTGAACAGGTGAACTGGTTGAGCACCTTTTCTATTTTTATTTTCTTTCATTCTCAGTTAGTCACCTGCACCAGCCTACAGTCTCTGATTTGTATGATGGCCAAGAGAGCTTAATGCATCCAGCTTAATAAACAAATACAAATGAAGTGAACATCTTCACATACAGCAGCTTTTAGTATGAAAGGCAAGAACTGAACAATTTTTATACTGTTCTCTCAAGATCAGGAGTTAATTGTGTCATTATCTCAAGAAAATAAGCTTTGTTATCTCAAGATAAGATACTCAAGCTGTTATTGTGAAAACAAAAGGTCATTTCCTCTTATTAAAATGTTTATCAGCGATCAGGAGTGCCATGTAAGCACGCATCATAACTGTAACAACTGGTTTAATCTAAAAATGTCAGATTAACGACGTTCAGCGCTACCTCAGTCAAGGTCATTATGTCTTTCAGTTAGAGATCATATTCATCGTGATAAATAATTTCATTGTCTCGAAAAATCACTTTTGTTTTCCCAATAATCCACATGAATTAACCCATTATCATGAGAAAACAACTTTATCTGTTTGTTACCTTCCAGAATTTAGAAAAAAATGCAACAAATAAATTAAAAACAAATAAATGAATTAATAAAACATAAATGCATTTCTATGTCATTCTTATCTTCAGAGTAATGTCCTTTTGTTGTTGGTAATCTTTAGGATTATTTTGTCCACTTGAACAATTCATATTCCTATTTTTACTATTTAACTGGTCATCAGTTACTTGAATGTGCTGTCATCTGCTTGTTCAGTTGATGTTATGTATCCTCCGCTATGCAGAGGATTGTGGGTCAGGATAGCCAGAACAGCATGCTGGCTTGCATACTGCAAAATGCGACCAGATGTAGGACACTGGTATTTTTGGCATACTGCATTTGACATACTATGTATTGGGACATACTCAGTTTTATTCATACTAAATAGTATAGTATATGGGTAATGGAATGCACTGTTTTTCACCAGACTTCTTTATTCACATGCTCACCTGTTCTCACTTTCCTCATCAGTCACTAATATGTTCTAATATGTGGTCCACTCTTTTGTGTCCTCGTCAGATAGTCATAGTTCCTTGACACAGGTGTTACTAATAACCACACCCCAAACAGAATCTGGGACACATCATCAGTGATTCGCCCTGGGGTCATTGGGTGTTTCAAGTCTTTTGACAAATCAGAAACCCTCGCCCAAGCGACCCGACCAGAGCTGATCAAACTCCGTCCTGTGTCCCAGCAGCATTTGGCCACAGATCTGCCCTCTTGATCCACAGCCACCTCGTGGCTCTTTCTGTGGCTTCAGTTGCAGCTTAGATCGCCTTCCTCTTTGCCTCCCCAGTGATGCCTAGCAGTGTGAGCGCCTTGCAGAGTGATCCTCCGCAAATCCTCCGCAGCCCACCTCCAGAGGCTCACGGCGAGTTCACCAGCCTTGCCCCCTGCACTGTTCCACAAGCTCCTGGTACTTGGCAGGCTTCTTCTCATTGACCTCGTCCATACACTTTTCCCAGGGTACTGTGAGCTCCAGCATTATTGGTTGCTTGTTGGAGTCTGTGACAATGATTACGTCAGGACGAAGCCGTGTTGGTGTTATCCTGGCTGGGAACTTAAGCTGTTTTCCAAGATCCACTTCCAGTTTCCAGTCAGTGGCAGTGGTGAGGAGGCAAGACTCTGCATCTGTATGTGGGGCTTCTCTCTGGCTTTGAGGAACATGGTGGTCTTTGGCTTGTGGTGGCCCTAGATGGTGTTTATGGCAGTGGCAATGCTCTCAGCAACTACAGCTGCAGACTTTAGCAGAGTATGTTTCATGTTTTTGCTTGTAATGTGATAGACAATCTTCACTGAGGATGACATTTGCTTTTAATCTGCCGAGTTATGGATTTCTGTGGGTGGGCCCGCTAATAATCACCACTGCCACTTCCACTGTCATGACTGACTGAGGCACCAAGCCTTCGTTAACAGTTACTGTTTTTCCTACTCCGGCAAGTCAGAATGTGTACTGATAAAATATACCATTGTGACTTTTGGACACTTGGTATTTGTTTGTGAAAACAGTGAGATAAAAGTACAATTTACATAAATCTGACCAACAGAGGAATGGAACTGTTGGCCATGTAACAGCAGGGACTTTTGGAGTACCACGTGTCTCTACAATAGTCAAAAGTGAAACGAATATAGAAATGCAATGTCACCAAACCAGTGCGCTTGTGTGAACACTAAAGAGAGTTACAATGAATTATTTAACTGCTTAAACAAGCTCTCCAACCTGATTAGCAAGTTTTCACACTTTAGAGAGAAGAGATGGTGCAAAAACAGTTAGCTGAGATTCCGGGTTTCAATCTGAGTCCGACTCCGTCCCACATTTGAATCACCCAACCTGCTGTGTTCATCATCTGTCCTCTGCCTAATTCAGAGAGATCAGAACTGATTTTCAGATTACAAGGCTTACTTCGGTTATTTTTTGCTTTTTTTCCTGTCGATTTAGCATGGAAAAATATCAAGGACCTCTTCCGGGAATGCCAGCACCGCAGGAGGTCTACAACACGGGAGTCTTCCAGCCTGGTAAGAAATCAGGGACCTTCAACTTTATCATGTTATCTGCATGTTTTAGTGTAAAGAAGCTTTTCAAGAATTTTTCCTGTCATTTTAGTCCATGTGGTAAGAGCTTTCTGGCAGCTTGATCGTCATTCTGTTCTTTAAACCTTACTCAAGCTCAAGTCTCCTCATATCTTTACCTGTACAGCCCACAACAACCTCAGCCTCTTGAGTGTCTCTCTCCAACTGTTTCTCACAAGTTAAAATAACTTTGAATTTGAAGAACATGGTAAGAGAGCTTCGAGTCCAGTGACTGGTTGGTGTGGATTGTTAATGTCAGGTGTAGGTGCTACAGAGTATTTGGTGTCTCCCTAACAGTGACCCCGGTGGTGATGGTGCAGCCGATGCCGACTGAAGTTCCTGGACAGATGTTGTGTCCTTATTGCCAGAACACAGTAATCACTAAAACTGAGCACAAAATTGGTTTGCTCACCTGGCTGATCTGTGGCATCTTAACAATATTCTTGTGAGTAGAAAATATCCAACAGAAAAATTAAGCTGAATTGACTTCATTTCAAGTTAATTCAACTAAAAATTTCTTATTTTTGAATGATGAAGTATTGTAGTGATTTTATTCCAATACTCCATCAGGTGCTGGTTTTGCTGCTGTATCCCCTTCTGCGTGAATAACTGCAAGGATGTGGAGCATTCCTGCCCCCTCTGTAACAACGTCCTGCACATTCATAAACGCATATAAAACAGCACTGCAGTGTCAACACAGCTGAAGTGGCAACAAAAGGTGCAGGAGTCAACCGTGACTAAATAAACATCTGGACAGGAGCCATACCCTGTTATACAAACACAACGGACATCAAGATTGAGAAAAGATGTGATTTAATCTTTTCTCTTATCTTTTGAATTACAATGTGCAACTGTGTTGTAAATAATGTAAAAATGTAATATAATCTACCTCTGTGTTAAATATAGGCAAGAATTTAGGAGGGTAAATAATGGCCTTACTGGTGTAAAATGCAGGTTGTAGGTGTGTTATTCTGTAGTGTACATATGTGTAGAAGATCACATAAGAGCTGTGATTTCTTCTTTTCTCCTATCGATTTATTTAAAATATGTAATAGGTGAAAAATTGATCACAATCTTATACTTTCTTGACCTGAGTGATGCTGTCTTACAATAAACCTGAGTATTAAATTCAAGCAACAGTGTAGGATGGTAAATATGCCATGAGTCTTATTGCACTTACATAAAATTCAAGTTGAGTTCAATTTTTTTAAAAGACTCTGAATAAAGTCAAATTATTCAACTTTTCATTTAATCTTAAGTTTTTATATGAAGGTATTATATTGATCTATGTTGAATGTTTTTATTGAAATTTCAGCTCTTTGATATGTTGAGGTAAAATTATGTTTTTATTGGAGGCTAAATGTTAAAACTTGAACAAAATTACTTAATTTGTGGACCATGAGCTAACATTAATTGGTTGTTTTTTTTCTTATTGATTTTACAACTTCAAGTTGTTATATACTTGTAAGCAATACATTTTAAAAAAGTGTTACTTTTAAAGTTATACATATTTTTCTTGAAATAATAAAGCCTAAATATACCTGTCTGCATATGTGAGCTTTGATAACAAAAAGATGTGCCAGCAAAAAAAGGCTTTAAAGTTGAATGACAATGAAATAATAATGTCAGCATGTGGCAAAGAGGCCAAATCCTTAGTTAAAATAATACTTTCGATGAAAGATGTGATCATTATCACAGAGAAAACTTTTTTCACATCAGATGTTTTGACATGTCTTTGCAGGAAGAGGTGTAATAATGACATTGATGATGGCTATATTCCAAGTATTTTGCGTGCTGGCTCACTCACAGGTCTGACTTACTGGAATACTCCAGGAAGAAGGGTGTTCTTTTTAAATTTGCCACAGGATCAGAATGTCTTTGAGTCATCGGGGTGGTGGCAATTCATAGACTGTATACAATAATGAACAAAGCTACCATGACGGCACCCTTTTGTTTGTGGACTCCTGTTTTGAAGCTTCAAATTCGGCATTTTGGACGACTTTTGGAGCCAGAAGTGACCATATTTGGACAAGAGGGTGGAGCTGTGAAAGAGTGAGGGACAGATGTGAATCATAGACTGTGGTGGCACCTTGCAGCCAGCTTGTCACTCAAAACGGCCCTGCCCTTAAATATGTGTAACTTTAAACCTTAATAAAATGTAAACGGGTGAGTATATAAAAATTCATCCCCGTACAGTTGTAATGAATGGGAACATTCGATGTCCAAAACTGTAACCTCTCTGTAACCGTAAAGTTGGGCATTTTAACATGGGTGTATATGGGGATTGACTCTCTTTTGGAGCCAGCCTCAAGTGGCCATTAGAAGAACTGCACATTTTGGCACTTCTCTGGCTTCATTCCAGCCCGCTGCCGCTTGGGTCACTCCCCATTAAACAGACTTTTATTCTGAAAAAAATAGAACAGGAAGTTGGGGGGAAAAAAGTTGCAACCCAAGTGTTAGACTATTTATCTATTTGAACATGCCGAAGTAAAATGGTGATTCTGTCTGTGCTGTTTGTTTCATCAGTGTCTACATGACTGAAGACAAAACTGATAGATGCCGCGTAAATGAGACCTCAGACTGGAGCTTGCTGCAGTTCTCCATGCAGACAGCAGATAGAGCCAACAGACTGAGCTGCAGTCTCTAGTCTCACACATTACCACTTTCACTCGGCAGCTCCTGTTCAATATGAAGTGCAGTGTTTTATACTTGGTCTCCACTGGCGGTGAAAAGACCACTGCACCATGCCAAAAGGACATGAACCGACTGGACAAGCACGTGTCTTTAATGACAATTGATAGGAGAGACCTGAGGTGGGATAAGGATGGGATTATGGGATGGGCCATACTTAACAAGGTCCTATTAGACTGTGACCATAGTAACCACTGGATTACACAGATTAGGGCTGATGTCCTGAGTCAGTCAACACTGCTCGTCCCTGTTGTCTCCAACCTCTACCTTCTTTTGTCTCCATTAGAGGACGCAATGACAAAACACACATCAAACTCCAGCTGAGTCGAGAGGTCTCCCAAACTTTCTGAAGACAGTGACTCGTATATAAGGTCACAAACTTAAAGGTTTCTGTTTCTTTCTCTTTGGCGGCACCTGTGGCAATAAGCAGTAATTGTAGTTAGTTTGTTGGCAGACTGAGACTTAAAGGCTTAAAACCAGGCTGGTGAATTTATCTATATCAGCTCATGTATGAGCCCTGCAGCTGGTGAGATGAAAGTGTTACCACAGCATTAGTTTCACATAGCCAGACCTATCTCACACTGTGCCAGTGTTGGAGAAAGCACTGGCTGAACCCACCATAATTCCACACTAAGGGAAAAAACACTCCGAGTTGTCTGTATTTCTTTTTACCAATCAAAATTGTGATGGGTGGCCCTAAGCCCAGATGCTGCAACAGTACCTTAGCAAAATAGTATCAAGGGGGGCTTGTTTTGGTGGAACATTTGCATGTGGGTGGCGAGCCCTGGCATTAAAGTGACTAATACCCTGCAGTGTAAACACTCCATAAAACATTAAAAGATCTTTTAGTGTGTAGGTTGTTAGCTTGGAGGTTGTTGTTGCCTCTCAAAAAGCGCTAAAATAAAGTGTGAAGATAGATTTGGCTATTCGAGACTAGTTTCACGTAGTGACGGGGATTTTGAAAACAGTAACAGGCAGATCGTGGAGGGGAAGGAAAATTCCATGCCATGCCAATGGCATGCATCCTGTGGGTCAGACTACCACAGACACTGTGTGTGTGTGTGTATGTTTCTGTGTGCATGAGAATGAATTATTAATGACTACGCACTGCCTGTGAGTTTCCCTGGGAATGTTGCCCTCAACACCCAGTTTGTAATACTGCAAATGCAACAACTTTTATCAGTGGGCCACAGGTTTAATCACCATCATGTTAACTCATTCAGCGATAAATAGTGACTTCACCTGTACTTAAATGAAAATCTTTGAGATTCTAACTTTAATGTTCTTCTTTATTAATTCCAGAGGGAGACAGGAATATCAGAGTAATGTCTGTGAGAAGCTAGCAGACATTCAGTTATCTCTTAAGGTAACTCGAAAGGGGGGCTCAGACCCAGAGCGAATAAAAAACCTTGGATCTTTTGACCTCCATCTGATATTGGGTTGTCTGATAGAAAATGGTGAAAATGGTGACTTGGGCTTTAACTCATGATGGTTTTCATTTTCATTTCATCTGCCCTTGGTTTCTCGACTTAAGATTCGGTAGGCAGAAATCTGGAAAAGGCAAACAATAGATTAAAAAAAATGGAAGTATCTGGAAATACACCCTCCTCCCGCAGCTCTTCCCTCTCTGGCTTAAGCCCCTCCCACCAGACGACCACAGGCATGTGCATGCACTATATACACTAACAGTGTTTCCTATACATCTATTTATTTAATCTTGTTTCACTTCATCCTTGCTCATCTCTCTCTCTCTCTCTCTCTCTCTCTCTCTGTTTAACACACTATAAATGAGACAAGATTTAGCCTGTGAGTTACCCCATGGTCCCTCCGCCTCACTCCCCGCTGCTGTGGATTGCTTCACTGGGATGAGTGCAGGCAGCAACGTGGAAGACGAACCTTTTGTCAGCAGCTAGCAGATTAAATTTGGCCAGTGCAAACCTCCCTGCACTGGGTGTCGCAGCAGACTGGTGGTCAGCAATAGCACTGGGTCTTGGTGGGGAGTGAGGCGTAGGACACACTAGAATTTGAGGCTCTGGTTAATGTTAGTTACATAAATGTGAACTTGAAGCCACAGCTGTGAGCTTTTGACTCCAGGTAGGAGTAGACTAAACTATCAGCAGCATTTCCTTTACGTCTCTGAAACTTTGTTGATCTTGACATGTGTTTTGTTTTATTGTCAGACTCTTTGAGACTCTCCTTTTGATATGTCTGTCTCCTGTTTTTTTGGGTTGCTTTGCAGTGTGGACAGATTTGTTACCGCTGCTGAAACAGCACCTTGCTCTGCAGGGTTCTCCACCATTGAATCAGGCTTTTACCGAAGGGATGTGCATCTGTATTTTCAGTAGGAACGCCCTCTCTCTAAACTGACTTGTGATTGGCCAAAGTCTCCCATCACAGGCTAAAATTTCTAAAGCCTGAAAACAGAGCAACAAGAGTTTGTACGCTAAATACCTACTGCCAACTGTTAGCTTAGCTTAGCACAAAGACTGTAAATAGAAAGAGACAACTAGCCTGGCGAACGGAGGATAATGGACTGTTTTGTAAATCCCATTCATCACTCTGTTGCTGTCACCAACCAAAACCCTATCACTATCTGGATTTGACTGTCTTTCCTTTCACAGCAGGATGTAGGTGTGCACTCTCCTCCTTACATCTGTCAGTCTGAGAGTTTATTTGTGTACCACAGACCAGCTTTGGCTTCTCCTGTGGTTGGCCTCTATATGTCACTGAGCTCACTCGTGGCTGTCAACATCAATCTCCATCACACTGATCCAAACTGACTTAATTAGCTAGTACAATGGTTGCTATCATGGTTTCCCATCTCCACGGGAGGAGATTACTCCTTTCTAAAGGAAGACTTGGCTGAGTCATGTCTTCAAGGCTATTATGTAACACTCTCTACTAGGACAGCCACGTGGCCACAGGGCTCACCTGTGTTTAGATTGACCATCTGCCCCTCTGCCTCTGTCTTCACACTGCAACACACACCGCCAATGGACATCTTACTGCTGAAGAGACCTCCATTTGTTTTAGTCCAATCTGGTGATCCAAGAAGATGAATCTCCAGCTCTGGGTATGAGGAAGAATTGTATAAGTGGTATAAGGAAGACGTGGGTGCCTGTAGGCAGGAAATAACACCGAGATGTGCAAACGGGTGACTAATACTGGCTTGGCTGTGAATTACCGTGCTTATGTACTGTACTTATTTCCTATCTTCTTCCTGTTTAGACAGGTGCATCAGCAAATCATACTCCCCATGTGTGGGTGAGCAGAAGTAAGGCTGGGATTGCGTCTCTGTTGACACCTCCGCAGATTCAGCGTGAAGCAGGGAGAGAGAAAAACAGACATGCAGACAGAATGAATTGAGAGAGGAGGACAGAGGGAGCGCGAGAGAAGAGTGAAAGAGAGACAGAAGATATATTTGACAATGTGGGTGTG